CAAGCGCGCAGTGCTGGCTCAGGGGCAAGGGCATCGCCTGGATTTCTGGCTGCGAAGGTATCGCAGCTGAGGAGAGAGGGGTGCAGCCATCCCCTCCTTCCCCAGGGTCAGTGTCTGGAAAACTCAGATGCGCCTCAGCGGGCGGTTTCGCGTAGCATCCTCCTCCATCCTCCACCTTCTCCTCGTCTTTGGTACGCTTTCAACTTCAGAAAGTGACATCTTCACTGGTAACGGCGAAGCTGCGGACGGTGGATGGATCGTAGCGTGTTGGAGAGGGTCGGGAGTGAGCTTGGGTTAAGGTTTTTCCACCTGAGGAGGGTGCCTGTCAGTTGTGGGCACGGCAGCAAGGAGAGCGCGCAGATCCTCTTCCGAAATGGAGTTTCTTGTAGCTACGCAGATGCTGTTTCCATACACTGGATCTGGGGTGGGACAGAAGGGAGGGAGGAGGGGCCCGTGCCGCCCTGGACAGCAGTGGCGTGCCTTTGAGTTTGCCATATTGAACGGTGTGAAGCGGAGGCCGTGAAGGTAAACAGAAGCACAGAAGCTGAGGCAGCCCAGAGAGAGGAATTGTCCATTTTGATCTGCATTGCAGGTGCATAAGAAACATCCAGGGTACTTGTTGGCTTTGCCTAGATGGTGAGATGGCTGTGCTTTTCACTTTTTTTTTTATTTTTGATGCTTTTACAGTAGAAACTATGCTCCTTTAATTTTTTTTTTAATCAAATGGGCATGGCTATAAATACAGTGCCTTTTTCCATTTAATTTCCTTGTCTATGAATGTAATTTTGTAGAGCTGTATTATGACTGAGCCTCTGAGAGAGGCTAGACAGCATATAGACATTTATACTTAATGGTCTGTTGCTTTTTGATTTGACAGTTTAAGCAAGCGCTTTATAAATAGCTAATGAAATGCTTATAATAATGCTGATTATTTGTTTTCTTAGATTTTTTTTTTCCAAGGCTTTGGTTATGCTGAGGTTCCAACAGTAATTTCTAAAGAAGCAGCAGAGAGGGGGAGGTCATAACAAAGTATTAGCTGCTTAAGTAGAAATTAAGAATATTGGCTAAATTGATGCATAACTGATTGTTTTCATCCAATTACCGTGTTTCTGCTTACTATTCTTCCTCCATCCTCATGGGAAAGAGAAAGCGCTCATGACCAACCCAAACACTGTATGTAGTTTTGAGTCCAGCAATTGTTGCAAACCCTAAAATAGCAATCTTATTTCATTTCTTTTTTTTTTGTTTACTTCAGATTTTAGATATAAGTGCATCCTTTTAAGAATAGGCTTTCAAATACTCTTTTTTTAAATCATCTTATTAGAGTTACAGAAATTAAACTCTTCTATGTGTTCTTTTTCAAGAGGTTCTAGGTACTGAGGGCAATTCATTCACTTTTATCATGTTAGCCAATCCTTTAACAGTAGTAGCCAGAAAAAAGTCCCCCATGCTATTCCAGAATGTAGGCTGTAAAGTAAAACATTCCTGGAATATTTTATACAGTATAGCAGAGGAAATATAGTTGTAATCAACTAGTTTTCAAGTTTACTTTTGATAGCATATTGAGTTCTCATTGCTACATTTCCTTCAATACTTTTCTATGGCTTAAGAAACTGTATTTTAAAATAGCAAAATATTGAAGGATTGCTTTTATAGCCTCAAAATTTACCATGTATTACAATGCTTACTTGTGTAAGCAGAGTAACATGATGTAATTTGTATTTTTGCTCAAGTTCATTCATGTTCCACTTCATCTTTTTCATAGTAAAATTTAAAAAAAATATACGCAGCAAATTGTTCATAGTTCACCGTTTGCTGCACAGAGAACTAACACCTTCGTGTTTCTGAAGCCGTTTACTTAGGCTATTTCTTTTTTTTTTTCTGGCAAGAAACAAGTGACTATCTATATATATTTGTTCATCTCCCTTGAGATGTCTGTCAGTAACTAACAGCGTTGTTTTTTGAAGAGTGGTGACTTACTGAAAAATCACTGAATCAGATGTCTTACTGTTGATGCTTTAGGGGAAATAGGTGTGTTCTGACTAGACAAGTCCACTGCTTTCCCTTGCTTCCCTACTGCTGAAGCTAAAAAGGTTTAAAAATCAAAGTCAGAGATGAAGAAAGGACTTTAGAATGATTCTAGTGTCAAAAAAAGATACTTGTATGTATGCAGCCTTTTTCATGTCTGTTTACTGCAGTACACAGTAAAACGTTGGATATGCTTGGAGCTGCTGTGAAATGTAGAAAAGCACAGCCATAAACTAGTTTACCTTATTGCAGTTTCCACGTTTCTGTTATTGATAAGAATATAAGGCAATATGCTGATATTGTATAACCATAATCAAGACTGTCAGAACCGGTGTCTGGCAGGGCTCGTCCTGTTCCTGGAAACAATGGTACTGGCTGATGCTGCCGAGCGAGCGCCTGGGTGGAGCTGAACCGGGGAGGTCGCCCTTTGTTCCGCAGAAATCTCATAATTAGAGCTCTGGTTTCCTTTGCATCTGCAGCACAACAAAACAAACAGTCTCCTCCTCTCTTGTGCTTTCGTCTAATGCAATATCTGAAGAAGGAAATGATGATAAAGAGTGAATTTAGCTTAGTGGGAATGCTAGCACTCAGGTGGTTATTTGCTGTATCTCGCCTTCGATTCCTGCACTTGCTTGACGTGACCTGGCATTCTTTATCTACCTGGCTGTTGTATCTTCAGTGAACGCGTGGCCGATCGCAGGCTCTGATGCTTTCGTTTTTAAGTGATACCAAAATGATCTTTCCTCTGTAAGAGGCTTTCCAGCTGTGTTGGTCATTATCTTCATGTGATCAGTGAATAATTTTATCTAAGGACATTTTACTGTTCTCTACCAGCTCATTTCTTCTGGTAATGTTAACGAGTGCCATACTATAAACAGGACCAATACATTTATTTGCTACTAAAAGGCAGAGTACATAGCAAAACATTGCTGAAAACCTTTCCTGTTGTTGAGGAGCCTGTTGACTACGTTTCAAGTTCTAGAAGACCTTTTGGATTTTACTTAAAACACTAAAATACCTTGCTGCTTGTCAGTCTTAATTACTTGCCTGAGAGCCAAGATTTAAGATTGGTTATTAAAAACATCACTTGACAAAAAAACTAAAAAAAAAAAAAATGACATCTATCTAAACAAAATTGATACGTGCCTCTAGAAAGGCTGGAAATACAGTAGAAGACGGTAGATCCCTGTGATCTGAGTCGGGGCCCAGACAGAAGGGCCAGATGGTGCCGTATACTCCATCTTTGTGGCGTAGAGGCCTTGTGTTTAAGAAGTGCCCCTCTCTGAAACAAATCACGTGAATAATGTCACAAGTGGCAAGTTTTTTGTGTAATGAAAGTGCCTGCTTGCTTTCCTCCTGAAAATTTGATTCAAACTGTTTAGTTTTACTACCTTCTAGATATCTAGGTTGTATAAGCTAGGAGTATGGAGTACTTGGGTTGGAAATTCTATGTCTTACCAGCTTATTTAATACAAAAAAGGAAAGAAAAAGAAAAAAAAAACTTGCTTAAGGAAGGGGCTTGCACACAGGTAGTCACTACCACTATATCTCCTTCA